ACAACCATCACTAGAATCAATTCTGGAATATTCTTTAACACCCAAAAGAAACCATTAGTAATCATACTCTGTTGCCTCTAACCCTCTGTCCCTTTAATAAAGGCACTGAAAGCTATACATTTTAATCTGATTGCTGGTTTTCACAGCATCTGACATATTTTGATGTGTTATATTTTCATTGGCATTTATTGAGAGAAGTTTTTAAAGTTCCTTTTCTTCTTTGAATCATGGATAATTTAAAAGTGTGTTGCTTGATATACAAATTTTGGGGGTCTTCTTAGATATTGTTACTCATTTCCACTTTAGTTTCATTGAGTTAGAGAATGGTGCTTGTATGATTTCATGTGCTTACATTTAATTTAGACTTGTTTTATAGCCCAGGACGTGGTATATCTTAGTCAATGTACCATGTTCACTAGAAAAGAATGAATCTAAAGTAGATACTGCAAATGTGCTCTATGAATGTTAATTAAATCAACATGCTTTATAATGTTTAGATTTCTTATGACTTCAATGAGTTTTCATGTAATCATTCTATCAGTTGCTTATAAAGGGGTGTTATAATCTCCCTTTCATTCTGTAGATTTTTCCTTCATGTAGTTTGAAACTGTATGAGTTACATGTACATATATGATTATTATGACTCCTTGATGAATTGATCTTGTTAATATTACAAAAAATTCACTCTTACAAAGCTATAGAAATCAAAATGGTATGGTATTGGCATAAAAACAGATATGGCATAAAAACATGGACCAATGGAATGGAACAGAGAACCCAGAAATAAACCCAAACATCTAAGATCAATTAATTTACTACAAAGGAGCCAAGAACATACAACGGAGAAAGGGCAGTCTCTTTAATAAATAATATTGGGAAAACTGGACAGCCACATGCAAAAGACTGAAACTTGATCATTATCTCATACCATACACAAACATTAACTCAAAGTGGATTAAAGACTTTGAACATAATACCTGAAGTCATAAAACTCCTAAAGAAAACATAGGTGATAAGCTCCTTGACATAGGTCTTGGTGATTAGTTTTTGAATCTGACACCAAAAGCAAAGGCAACAAGAGCAAAAATAAATAAGTGGGACTACATCAAACTAACAAGCTTCTTCACAGCAAAGGAAACTATCAAGAAAATGAAAAGGCAATCTACCAACTGGGAAAAGATACTTGCAAATCATAGATCTGATATAGGGTTATTGCCTAAAAATATAAAGAACACATACAACTCAATAGCAAAAATACAAACAATCCAATTAAAAAGTAGACAGATAAGCCCCACATTGGGTGAGCAAGAGCCCTGCTTTGGGTAAAACACAAGCCCTGGGTGAGCCCCGCTTCTCTCTCTCTCTTTCTCTACCTCTGTCTCTCTCCCTCTCTCTTTATCTCTGACCCTCGCTCACTTGCGCCCTCTCTCCCTCTCAAAAAGTAAAATAAAAAGTAGAGCATCTGAACCACCATTTTTCCAAAGACAGAGACCAACAGAGACATGAAAAGATACTCGACATCACTAATAGAAATGCAAATCAAAACCACAATAAGGTATCACGTTACACCTGTTAGAATGGCTATTATAAAAACAAACAAACAAACAAACAAACAAACAAACAAAAAACAAGAAATAACAAGAACTGGCAAGGAAGTGGAGAAAAAAAGAATACCCTTGTGTACTGCTGGTGGGACTGTAAATTGGTGCAGTCACTATGGAAAACAGTATGGAATTTCCTTTAAAAGTTAAAAATAGAAGCAACATATAATCCAGCAATCCCACTTCTGGATATTTCTCCAAAGAAAAGGAAAATGCTAAGTTGAAAAGACATATGCACACCCATGTTTGCTGTAACATTATTTACAATAGCCACGACATGGAGGCAACTTAAGTGATTATTCATTTATGAATGAATACGAGATTGAGGTATGTATATTATCTTGTATACATATCATGTATATATATATAAATCCTGCCATTTGTGATAACATGGCTGGACTTTGAGGGCATTATGATAAACAAAATAAGTCAGAGAAAGACCAATACCATGTGATCTCACTTATATGTCGAATCTTAAAAAACAAAACAAAACAAACTTACAGACACAGCAAACAGATTTGTGGTAGCCAGAGGTGTGGTAGCCATGGGGGATGGATGAAATGGGTGAAGATGGTCAAAAGATATAAATTTCCTGTTATAAAATAAGTCCTGATGGTGTAATGTACAGCAGTGTGACTATAGTTAATAATACCATATTGCATATTTCAAAGTTGCTAAGAGAGTAGACCTTAAAAGTTCTCAACACAAGAAAAAAATTGTAACTATGTGTGGTGATGGATGTTAACTAGACTTATTGTGGCGATCATTTCACAATATACACAAATATCAAATCATTATGTCATACACCTGAACCTAATATAATGTCATGTGTCAATGATCTCTCCATTAAAAACAAAACAAAAACAAAACACCTCCACACATGCAGCAACCACACATGGGCCTGTTGCTGCTCTGGAGCCACTGAGTCCCCAGACCCCTTACTCTCCTGCTTTGTAAAAACCGTTTCACACTTACTCTTCTCCTCCAGCACCTCCTCACTGCTTTTCAGTCTCAGCAAATGACTTTACTTCTTAACCTCAGGGAGAAAGTAGCTCTCTGTAGAAAACTTCCATGGGCTCCATTCAGGGAATCTCCCCACGCATTTGGCTTCAGTGTCCACACCCTCTGCCTCCCCTTCCATTAGGACAAATAAAGTTCCTTCTTTTTTTCTCAGGATATTCTTTGTCTTGAAGTCAACCTCATCTGACATTAAGATGGCCACAGCAGATTTCTTACCTCTACTATTTGAATGGTATATCTTCTTCCATCCTTTTATTTTCAATATATCTGTGTCATGCTTTTAGATTGTGTCTTTAGGGATGCCTGGGTAGCTCAGTTGGTTAAGGTTAAGCATCCAACTTCAGCTCAGATTGTGATCTCACGGTTAGTGAATTCGAGTCCTGAATTGAGCTCCCATTGGGCTCTGCACTCACAGAGTCTGCTTGGGATTCTTGCTCTCTCCTCTCTCTCTGCCCCTCCCCTGCTCACTCTTTCTCTCAAAATAAATAAAAACTTAAAAAAAATTGCATCTCTAATTGACATTATGTAGTTGGTCTCACTCTCTCATTCCTCTAACCTCTTCTACTTTTGAATTGCAGTGTTTATGGGATTTATAGTAAACATAAAAATTAATATGGTTGAAATAGCTGTATAAGTTACCATTTGTTTTGTTTGTCCAGTCTTCCCCCCACCCCATGTTCCTCCTTCCCTGCATATTTTGATGTTAATTATTTTTTAGAATTCCATTTTGTATGTGTATTGGCTTTTCATCTATACATATTTTCATCATCTCTATTTTTTTTTTTTTTTAATTTTAAGTCGGCTCCATACCCAGTTGGGGCTTGAACTCATGACCCTGAGATTAAGAGTTGCATGCTCTACAACTGAGCCAGCCAGGTGCCACTATACATATTTCCATCATGAATATACAATTGGTATAGGTAGTAAAATACACGACCTTAATTGTTTTCAGTCTATTGACAGGCTCTTAAAAAGAGATTATTGAGGAATAATTGACATATGGTAAACTGCACATCATTAAATTACACAATTTGATAGATTTTGACACATGCATCTGTGAAATGCCACCACAATCAGCCTAATGACCATGTCATCACCCCTAAAGTTTCCTCTTGCCCCTTGATAATCCTCCCTTCTGCCCTGACCCTTTTGGACCCAGGGAACTATTGATCTACTTTCTGTCACAATAGAATGGTTTGAAGTTTGTAGATTTTCACATAGGTGGAATCAGAGAGGATGTATTCCTTTCTCTCTGTTTTCTTTCACTCCAAACTATTATTTTGAAATTCATACATGTTGTTCTGTATTTCAATACTTCATGCCTTTTCATTGCTGAATTTCATAGCATAATATTAGTGTAAAAAGTAAGAGACTTACAAGATAGATCAATTCATTACCGCTTCCCATTCTTTTTGCAGTAGCTGTTCTAGGAATTGCCTATCTACATGTTATAAACCACACAAACAATGTAACAATATTTGTATATACTTTTAAGAAATTAAGAGGATATAACAGTCCTTTACATTTGGTTCATATTTTCTATTTCTGGTGATCTTTCTTCCTTTCTCAACATGCACACTTCCATTTGTTGTCATTGTTCGACCTGAAACCTTCATTCAGTCTTCTGGCAATGAAATGCTACTACTGTCTCCAAAATCACATTCATAGTCCTAATTCTTAAGCCCTTTTCTACCGATTTACTCTTTGACTTTGTTTTTTTGTTTGTTTATTTTTGAGAGAGAGAGAGCGTGAGTGCAGGAGGTGCAGAGAGAGAGGGAGACAAGTGGGCTCCATGCTGACAGCAGAGAACCCAATGTGGGGCTTGAGCCCACAAACTGTGAGATCATGATCTGAGCTGAAGTTGGATGCTCAGCTGACAGAGCTACCCAGGTGCTCTTTGACTTTGTTAATGACCTCTGCCACCTCTCAGGTTAGGAAACCTGGGCTACTGAACTCAATTCATCCCCTGCCAGTGTTATCATAATTGTTTCCCTCACATCAGTGTCACCTGCCACTTTCCTTTTCAGGCTGATACAACCTAAACACTTACCCTAACCACTAAGACATGTACCAAATGCTCCTCAGGGCACATCTGAGTTCACACATCTCGTCCCCCATCCAAAGAGCAAACAATTTTATTTTTATAAACAAATATCTGTAATGGTGCTAGTGTGATCAGGGCTCACCCACTGAAAAGTTGACACCTGGCTCCTGGAGCTCATGGATCTGGGCAGTTCCTCTGGATGATATTCACTGACCTCTTTTCTATCCTCAACCTACCTGTCATATTTCCCACCACCCACATTAAATATACTCTACGACAGGACAAGATCATGTCAGTGTCAGTACAGAGAATTAGAGCCCAAGCCACCCACTCACCTGGGGAAGGCATGTCTTGAGCCTGGTGATCAACACTGTAGAAGGAGCATCAGTGACATGACATGGGCCTTCCTTTCCTTACGAAAGATCCAGGTCACAGGGAGCTGAGGCAGACACACAGATAACAAGGTTGACAACAGTGAAAAGGGCTTGGAGGGGTTGCCCAGGCAGAGGTGACAATGCCACGGGTGTAGGGACACTAGTGGACATAGAGGGGAAAGTCCACAGGAACAGGATCAGACAAGAGAGAAGTCAAAGTAATGGGCAGAGTAGAGGATAAGCCATTCTAGTTTGTGGTTATCTCTGCTTCTGGAGACCGAGGGTGTAGCCAGAGATCGACTGTGCCAACCTGTAGACGTGGGCTCATGGTTCGGTATATGTATAAGAGAGGGAGGCAGAAAAACAGAGCTTGGCACATGTTAAGTGCTGTTTGTAGGTACATGTTGTGACTGGTATAAACATTAGCCACAAGGTTGACTTTAATTAAAATCACATCCTCCAGGCCAGCAATATTATAACCTGGGATCTTGCAACAACTCTGTCAGAGTCCAAATACAGGTGAATAACATTCCCCAACACCATCGCAGCCTCTCTGGAGATGGGATAAGGTGAGGATGACGAGACCCCATGCTATTTTCCTTTAGTTATTTAGGTCCTTGATCTCATCTCCTCCACCACACTGTGAGCTCCCAGGACTAGGATAAACATGGGTCATTTGTTTCCCTCCCCAAGGGCCCAGACTTTCCCTGAGTAAAAGGCTTGTTAGCTGCTTGGCGGGTTAATAAGAACACCTTCTCTTAGGAAACAAAGAAGGTGAGCCTAGGGATGGCCTTGTTGCAATCCCTAAGGAAAGTTTCCAGGCTGCAGCACAGGGAGGGGACCCAAAGGGAGCCCTGTGACTTCTGTTGAGGAGACACAGGCAGGAGTTCCAAGAGGCTGAATGCAGTGCAGAGGGCTGGAGAAGATGCTGAACAGAAAGTGTTCTGCAGATGTCCAGTGTCTGGATGTGTGCTCATCTGTGCATGCATGACAGGGACCCACCCAGGCAGAGAAGAGACCATCAGAAATCAGCAGGCTGGACAAGGTTTGAGGCTTGCCCAGGTCTTGGAATTGTTTTTGCTCCCATTCATCAGAATGGATGAACTGCATAAAGGGATGCCAGCTGGTTATCAGAAGTTTATTATTAGAGTCTTAGTAGTTAAAATTAGCCCAAGTAAGGTAACTGTATCCCAAGCCATAAAGTTTAAAAGGCAGTATCAGATGATCCAACTGATACTCAGTTTTCTTAATTTTGATGACAATAATACCCAACACTCTTTGAATGAATACTACAAAGTTCAATTCCCAACAAAGTAAATTTAACAATGTCTACTATTTAATAAAAAAATTACCAGACATCAAAAATGGCAAAAAAAAAAAAAAAATCTCCACAAACAGGAAAAATTCAATCAATAGAAACAATCAAAAAAAAATAAGAGAAATAATGGAATTTAAATGAAGAACTTAAAACAGCTAATCTAAATCTTTTAATATTCTTCAGTGTATTAAATCTCCTGAATACGATCAGGAGGAAATGGCTGGTATTAAAAACATCAATGAAACTTCTAGATATTAAAAAAGTACACTGTCTGTAATTAAAGATACACTGAACGGGATTAACAGCAAATTAGATACTGCATAATGTCAGTGAGTTTGTAGACAGAGCAATAGGAAGACCCAAAATGAAACAAAGAGAAAAAATAAGGGAAAAATGAACAGATCCTATATTAGCTCTGAAATACTATCAAGGATTTAACATACAAGCAATTGGAGACCCAGTAAAGAGAAAAAATGGGCAAAATATTTGAGGAAATAATGGTCAAAATTTTTCCAAATTGGACATAAATTATAAAGCCAAAGGTCTAAGAAATCCAACCAACTGCAATATAAAGAAAACCACACTCTGATGGTTAATTTTATGTGTCATCTTGACTGGATCACAGTGTGTCCAGATATTCAGCTAAATACTATTTCTGTGTGTGTCTGTGAGGGTGTTTCCATACGAAACTGACATGTGAATTGGTGGCTCAGTGAAGCAGTTTGCCCTCCCAAAGTGGGTGAGCATCATGTAATCTTTCGAGGTCCTGACTGCTAAAGCTGTGATGTCCGTCTTCTCCTGCCCTTGGAACTTCTGGTCCTTAGGCCTTCAATCTAAACTAGACTCTACATATTGTCTCCTCTGGTTCTCAGGGCTTCAAACTCTGACTGAATTAAACCACTTGCTTTCCTGGTTCTCTAGTTAACTGTCATCAGATTGTGAGACTTTTAAGCTGCCATAATTGGTGACCAGTCATCTGCAGCCCTCAGAAGCTTTTCAGAAGCTCCTGCCTCCACCTCAGGGAGCCCATACCAAGGGGCCAATACAAGCAGGTGGCAGCCACTGCCGGGGTGGAAACCATGTGGCCCTGTGACCCTGTCAACATCATAGTGACTCTGTCAACATCATAGTGACTGACACCTCCCTGAGGATGTGATTTGAACTCCCACACAGCCTCACAGAAGTGCCCACACAGCCCTCAGCAGTTAACAAAGGGCCCTGCAGGCTTTCTTCTCCTCCCCATTCTACACTTGAAGAAGCAGGGCCACACCAGGCTCCCAAAGCTGGAAAGGAGCAGAGCAGGGCCACTGTGTCCAGCTCCAATATCAGAGCCCATTCAGCCTAACTGAGCTTCTGAGCCTCTGAAGCTCACAATTCCTACTGTCATAGAGAGAGGGAGCTGGAAGGAAAAGACCCAGAATAGAAGTGGGACCATTCTAGCACATGCAGAGTAAAGACGCAGGGTTAGGAAAGAGCTCAGCATTGGGTCCCAACTGATGTAATCCTTCCAACAGCCCCAGGACATGGGTGACATCTCATTACAGGTAGAGCTGTGGCCAGTAACTGGCCCCAGGTGACATAGTTCAGGTGAACGACTGGGATTCCACTCCCCTGCCACCTAATCAAGGTATCTTGATCATCTTCTCCCAGAAATCTCATGGATCCTTGTAAACCTCTGTTAGCACCAAGGAATCAAAACCACAATGGTAGTGCATCATTTTGTACCTCTTAGACTAGCAAAGAATGAAAGTTTAGTGTAACAAGGGTAAAAGGAATCAGGCACAATTATGCATTCCTTTTTTTAAAATTGAGAGTTATTCTGTGGCTTAACGTGATCTATTCTGAAAAATGTTCCATGTGTACTTGAAAAGAATGTGTATTCCACTGTTTTTGGACAAAATGTTCTGATATAGCTGTTAGGTCCACCCGGTCCAATGTGAAATTCAAAGCTACTGTTTCTTGTTGATTTTCTGCCTGGATGATCTATCCCCTGATGTAAGTAGGGTGTTAAAGTTCCCTACTATTATTGTATTACTGTCAATTTCTTCTTTTATGTCTGTTAATGGTAGTTACACGTATTTGGGTGCTTCCAAATTGGGTTCATAAATATTTACAATTGTTACAACTTTTTGTTGGATTGTTCCCTTTATCGTTATGTAGTGTCCTTCTTTGTCTCATTACAGTCTTTGTTTTAATGTCTGTTTTGTCTGTTGCAAGTACTGCTACACTGGCTTTTTTCTTTTTAAGTTTTATTTTATTTTATTTTATTTTATTTTTGAGAGAGAGAGAGACAGAGCGTGAACAGGGGAGGGGCAGAGAGAGAGGGAGACACAGAATCTGAAACAGGCTCCAAGCTCTGAGCTGTGGGCACAGAGCCCAACGTGGGGCTTGAACTCACAGACCGTGAGATCATGACCTGAGCTGAAGTCAGACACTTAACCGACCGAGCCACCCAGGCGCCCCTACCCTGGCTTTCTTTTCACATTCATTTGCATGGCAAATATTTTTCCAACCCTTCACTTTCAATCCACATGGGTCTTTAGGTCTGAAGTGAGTCTCTTGGAGACAGCACATAGATGGGTTTTGCTTTTTAATCCATTTCAGTCCTTCTATGCCTTTTGATTGGAGCATTTAGTCTATCCACACTTAAAGTAATTATTGAGAGGTATATACTTACTGCCATTTTGTTACTTGTATTATGGTTGCTTTTGTAGTTCTTCTGTTCCTTTCTTCTTCTCTTTCTTCTCTCTTCCCTTGTGGTTTGATGGCTTCCTTTATCGTGCTTGGATTCCTTTCTCCTTGATTTTTGCATATCTATTATAGGTTTTGAGTTTGTGGTTAGATTAGATTCATATATAATGTATAGCAGTCTATATTAATTGATGGTCACTTAAGTTTGAGCCCATTCTAAAAGCACTAAATTTTATTACTCCCCCATCATATTTTATGTATATAATGTCACACTTTACTTCTTTTTATTTTGTGGATCCCTTGACTGACTTTTGTAGATATAATTGAATTTACTGCTTTTGTGCTTTAACTTCCATATTAGTTTTATAAGTGATTAATCTACTACTTGCATTATATATTTGCACTTACCTATGAATTTTTTTCCTTTTATAGCTTTCTTACTCCTGATTATGAACTTTTGTTTCCACTCAAATAAGTCCCTTTAACATTTCTTGTAAGGTTGGTTCAGTGGTGATGAACTCCTTTAACTTTTGTTTGTCTGGGAAACCCTATCTCTCCTTTATTCTGAAGGATAACCTTGCTGGGTATTCTTGATTGTGGCTTTTCTTCCTTTCAGTACTTTGAATATCATGCCACTCCCTCTGGCCTGCAAAGTTTCTGCTGAAAAATCAGCTGATAGCCCTATGGGGTTTCCCTTGTATGTAACTGTTTCCTTTGCTGCTTTTAAAATTCTTTATCACTACTTTTGCCATTTTAATGATGTGTCTTGGTGTGGACCCCCTTGGGTTAAATTTGTTGGGGGCTCTCGGTGCTTCCTCGATCTGGATGCTTACACTTATGCATGTGTGATGTGAGTGTAAAACTGGAACAACTTTCTTTTGGAGAAGAATTTACCGATATAAAAACAAAATCCTAAAATCATTTTTCATATCAATACAAGTGTAATTACTATCATGACGTTGGAATTAGCAAAACCAAAACCAGTGTATAATCTAAGCAGCTATGCATAAAAGGGAAGAATAAAATAATCTTTGGTTCTATCATGCAATAAAATAC